ATGGTAGGAAGGAAGGAAGGAAGGAAGATGGGAGGAAGGAAGATGGGCGGAAGGAAGGGGAAGGGAGGGTGGAAGAGGGAAGGAAGGTAGGAAGGAAGGAGGCAGGGAGGAAGGAAGGAAGGTGGGAGGAAGGAAGATGGGAGGAAGGAAGGAAGGAAGGAAGAGGGAAGGAAGGAAGATGGGAGGAAGGAGGGGGGAGGAAGGAAGGAAGATGGGAGGAAGGAGAGGGGAGGAAGGAAGGAAGATGGGAGGAAGGAAGATGGGAGGAAGGAAGGAAGGAAGGAGTATGGGAGGAAGGAAGGAAGGAAGGAAGATGGGCGGAAGGAAGCGGGAGGGAGGGTGGAAGAGGGAAGGAAGAAAGGAGGCAGGGAGGAAGGAAGGAAGATGGAAGGAAGGTGGGAGGAAGGAAGGAAGGAAGGAAGGAAGGAAGGAAGGAAGGAAGGAAGGAAGGAAGGAACTGATAAATGACTTGTTACCATGGGGATTAATTTAATTGACAGATCTATTTTTATTTCCTTTCACCCAGATATAGAGTGTGTAGATCAGGTGTGTGATGATGAACCCAGAACCTCCCAGTAGGCCCAGTAGAAGGTTCTGGGTCAGAGGCTGGAACCAGTACGGCTCAGACTGGAGATCCTCCCAGTTTGATCTTCTTCATCGTATCTGATCTGAAAGCCGCTCCTCAACAGATCTAGAATGTATAGAACCGTACCTATAGAAGCTGCCTAGTGGTTAGAGCATAGAGCTATGAATCCAGAGCTCCTGAGTTCCAGCCCCACTCCCACAGACTGCCACTCTGGGTCCCTGAGCCAGACCCTAACCCCACCATGGCAGCCCTCTGCTCCCCGAGGGGAGGGGCTAGATGGAAGTTCAATTATTATTAGAATAATTAATCTGCACAGAATAAAGTTAATTAAACCAACTTTGTTATTTCAGTAAAATGTTGCATCATGTTAATCAATCTGAGATCAATAAAGTTCAATGATTGAATTAAATCGACAGATGTTGGACCAGAACCAAGAGAGGCGGAGTTTGGGACCCAGCAGCTGCGTCCTCTGAACAGCCGTAGGACGATGACATCATAGCGCGGCGCTGAGGTCCGTTCGGATTGGAAGACTCCTTGTCATGTGGCCGATGACGCCGCGGTATCCTCCGCAGCCTCCAATATCCCAGGATTCATTGCGAGACCAACCACATGGGTTTTTATCTGATTAAATGGGTTAGGCTGTAATTTAAGCTCAGACTATCTCTGCAGGGCGGGGACTATAAATCTGATATCTGAGACGAGCGTACTGCTGCTGAAGCTCCTCAGGAAGGTTATCAGATTTAAAGACAGATCAGATCCCATGAATGATGCATGAAAAGCAAGACCTGGTTCTGATTGTCTCCCTCTAGTGGAGAACTTCTGCTACAGGAAGCTGCACCACTGATCCTACTCACTGCCAGGGCGGAGTAAAGCCGGCCGCCATATTGGTACTCCCTAGTTAGACCGGTCTCAATCTGTGCGCTACAGGATCAAACAATGATGATGTTCTCATTATTAGTTTAAGACTTTTAAAATAAAGATAAATTCATCACTTTGACACAGACTGGCTGTTTCAGAGCATCAGTAGATTAACTTAGAATAAATAAATAGATCCATCACATTGCAGAGTCATTATGAAGTCTATAAATCATTTAATAAAACATTTTATATAAATCCATCACAATAAAATTAATGTTAATGGAGCAGAATAATACAGATGAGCCTAAAGTGATAAATTGATGTTAATGTAATAAACATGAATTGATGAAACTGATGATTCCGTGTGATACGAAATTACAAGGTTTTACTTTAAGACTGAATTACATGTCTGTTAATCTCACACACACACACACACACACACACACACGTACGTATATATATGGTCAAATATTTATATTATCCAGTGAATGACATCATCACTGAATAAAGACATTTCACAGTGAAAGACTTTCTATTGTCGGTTCTAATGAAGCAGAACCAGTTTAAATCAGCGAAGAAAAACATTTATTTCATTTTACAGCAAACAAAAAAAAAAACAACATTCCAACATTTCTCTCATCAAAAACCTAAAGTCTGATAAAAATGTTCCCATAATTTAACAACAAAGTGCCTTCATTTGTTCCGCAGAAACCCAACTTCCCTTTGGGCCCCAAATGGAGCCGTCCGATAAATCAGGG